TTGTTATTGTTATCACGATTATTCTTTAAAATAAAGTTATATAGTCATTAACGTTATTGAAACTGACAGCTGCTATACAGCTCGTTGAGAAATGAGGTTAAGTTGGTCGCTATAAGCTACTCCCTACGTCCAATGTGTCAGAGCCAACTTCGACCACGTTTTTATTTGAACGCTCGTTATAAGGGTACGCTGGAATTAAATTGGCCCTAACTTTTTTACTATAGCACGTTTATTCCCTTTTCAATTTTAAACAAAAAAGATATACTTTGTCGAAATCTGTCAGAGGCGTTTCCGAGATATTGGCGAGTTAAATGCACACCATATTTTCAAATTTTATCAACTATTTAAGGTGAAAAATTTTAAAATTTCTTTCCACCATCTAATCAGTAATGCAATGATCTTGAATTTTACGTTTATAACAAAAAAAGTCTTATATTGACCTCAAAAATATGCCTCTAAATTCTTTGTACTGAAATTTGAATCACCCTGTACAAATAGGACTTTTTTTAATCACCACGTACAATTTTTCAAACAGTATTTTGTCTACAAATAAAACCTCTTGTAAATTTTAGTAGTGGGTATGGTAATTGTAATTGCATTTTTTGATATTTTTTGTTGTTTTGTTCTTTTCGTGTAGATACATGAAAAATTCCAATTATATTTCCAAATAAAAATTTACAGGTTTTATTTTTAGATAAAAGAAAGTTATTTCGAAAAATTGTTTCGGGAGGTTATTTAAAAAACCCAGATTTATAATTTTATATTGATAAAAATTACATTTCTGTCTCCAGATCTACGCTACAAAGTATTTTATTTTCTCGGCAGTTTTTATTTCAAACTGTTTCAAAATTATTATCTTATTTTAAAAGTTCTCAAGGTCGTACTTCCGTAAATAGGCCCAACTGAAGAAAATTTGTTTAATTTTCGATGGTTACTATCGTAGTATATGTACCTACTTTGCGATATGAATGTTCAACAGTGTCCTGGATACTACTCACAATTTTTCATATAGTTTTGATTAGATTTTTTTGTTAATTTGCAAGTTTCCCCATCGCTTTCCATTTTACCAAACCTTTCGCATTCAGCGACAGTTAATACAAAGGTAATTCACAAAAAAAGTGGAATGTATGCGAAAATCATCAATAGTTTCCAGCTGAGTACGATACACTTCATTTTAAAATGTCCCCATAAAAAGTCGAGAGGGTTTAAGTCAAGAGACCATGGTGACCATATCACCGGTTCTCCTCGTTCAATTTACCGCATTTCTTGAATTTTATTTAGGTAATCTCGTACAGTTTATTGAATATACGATACGTTCGTTGTTGAACAGGTTAGGGTTCGACTAAGCGATATGTTGTCTTGCCATAAATCCATAAATTAAAATGAATCCATCAACTCAGAGTTGCTATACACGCAAACCATTTTTGACACTAACTACTAAAAAACTGTTGTGAACACTATCGCAATGATTATTGTAAAATCGGATATCAGTATTCGAAGTCGCTAAGGCTACGTGGCTCTCCACGCGTATTGCAAATGACGCTAGAGACTACAGTTGTCCGGCGATGTAATGTTTGAAAGTACTACAACTTCAATGTTTTTCTCGGAAACTATTTTACAAAAAATTTTTTTACGATATAGACTCCATTTCTCATCTATTCCCAAATTTTTTGGGATAAGTTGTGAATCACCTTGTATATACAAAATTGAAAAAACCAGTGGCGTGCATCTACGTTTTTAAATTAACACGATTAAGAGATCAGCGTATACAATTAAAATTATTGCTGTGAAATGAAGTGTAACTATTTTTTACATAAAAATAATAAACTAAAACAAATAAGTAACGAAAAATAAAAAAGGGTTACACCAGGGTATACAATTATAGGCAACATTGTGAAAAATCAATATTTTTTCACTATCAAAAGTTGTAATGACGTTGCTTTTTTAACTAAGTTTGATATTTTAAACTTGTTTGTTTTTGTATGTGGGCTAGCTGTCAACGAGTGGTATGACGTCACAACATGGCTTCTATGCGTTTTCCCGTCCTCTTCATTAAATAATCTGAGGGAGAAATACTAAAAAATACATCCTAATTTTTAGCATATTAACTATGAAATATTCTGAATATGAATTAACAAACTATATTAAATGAGAAATGAGCCCATCTATAGTTTTGCAAGGTACCAAGTGGTGTCTTTTTAATAAAAATCGGACTCACATATGAATCATATATTTATTGTACAATTTAAGTTACATAAATACAATCATATAAACAAGGACAACTGTCCTAATGCTAAAAACGGACGGAATATAAAGAAAATTAATAACTATTACATATTTTACTTTCAGTGCTTCGGGCTGCATCTCAATAATCTTCTCCATATTAAAATAAAGGAAACATTTTTGTTCTGTTGTGTAAGTTTAACGTCTTTGGTATTGCTCCTACCATACCTTTAAAAATTCGTAACAACATTTTAGTCGGTATGGATATACAAGTTGCTGTACAAGTTTACTTTTGGTGAATTATTACAAAATTGTTTGTCTCCAGTTTACAACTGCTTTGAAACATTGTATTCCTTAATTTTTATGAACACAAATAGCATTATATTATATGTAACGTTTGGATGAAAACTGCGGGAACGAAAAAATACAAGCGGCGCTGAATTTGGTAAGTGATATTGTTATGTTTATCTGAAATTCTTTAATCAAAAATCTTTTGGGGGTAGTAGCTATTTGAAAAAATCTAGCAATTGAAGGTAAGTTTTTTAGTTCAATAATTTTACATGCTTGTAGTCCGATTTCCACACTTTTCAAGTCGGTTACAAACATTTCCATATCTTAGACATAGAAAGATTAGAGAAGTGTTGAAAAGTTGGTCAAAAAACAGAAAATATTTACAAATTTTGTACATTCCTATAATAGATTGCGACAAAAATGCCCCAGTATCGAAATACAAAATAAATGCAAATTAGAAAAAAGAAAATATTTTTATTTGCAACTGAGAATCGACGAATTAATTATCTTTAAATTTGGTACGAGGTGTAAAATTTCAGTTGAATATGTAGTGGCTTCATTCATATGCTATAATTAAGACCAGGCTCCTTTTCAAAATTAAAAAATGTTAAGCCATTGGCCAAAATTGCATTGAAATAAAAGTAAGGTTGACAATTGCAAATTTTCTTTGATTCATTTTGTGGATGCAGAAGGCCTCAGCTCCATTAAAATTGTTGCAATGTTAATAATTAGATAAATGAAGAGAAAAACTTTAAAAAATATTTTATAATTTGGTGAAGATGACTTCACATGTTAACTGTGGTTTATATGTATAATAAAACTGTTATATGTAATATTGGTCAGTGGTGTAACATTTTTTATTCTGAAAAGGAACTTGAGTTTTTTATTAACTGAAACAAATTTTTTCATTAATTCTTGTTAAAGATTATATTGTGTTCTTTTATTTAAATACTTACATCACTGGACAATTTTTTGTAATTAGTACTTAATGTGGACGGAAATATTTGAGAAAAATAAATTTGTGTGAAATTATTTGCAGTGTGTATACTAAATTTTGTCCTATTTGTAAGTTTCTTAGGCAGATTTAAAAAAAAATCCAGTTTGCGAAAATATAAGCTCTATTTTTCAAAATCACCATTTCCCAAATTTTTTGTTAATATCTTCTATGTAAATATTCAAGTACGATTAATTAAAAAATTATACATTTGTCGATATAAAATTCGCACAACGGGAACAATTTTATTTATGATTTTAGTAAAAACTTTTTCTTCTAATAATTTTTGCCAGATATGTCCACTAAATAAAATTTAAATAGCCAAGGAGATTTTTGGTTTAATTATATTATTAAACAGTTAAAATTAAAAAATACATTTTCCGAAAAAATGTAGAACTTTTAGCAAAATTCCAAGTGTAAAAAAAAATAAAAAAACCTGACATTTTCCCAATTTTTTTAATAACGAAATAAACGAAATCTATTATATAATTTGATCAATAAATCTTCCATATTTTTTGAAAAAACATTTATTATTTTCAGATTAAAATAATGTCGTTTACTTCTAAATTAAAAATCGACTACTAGGTATCTTTCGGTTGCGATATTTAGACACACAAAAATTAATAGAAATTATAATTTTTTTTCCTAAAATCTTATTTTCCCACTTGGTGTCAAGTCAACTTTTAAACAATCATTGTACACATATACACATTACAGACAAGGCAAACCAAGTTTGACTGTGACTACAGGGATCTCAAAAACTGTTAGAAAGCATATCCGATAGAATTTAATATTTGAATTTTATTATAAAAAGTAAAAATTGGACTTTTTAAAACTTTGCTGTGAAAAAAATGTTGAAGAACCGTTCTGATGTGATTTTTTATTCTTTTCATCGGCGTAGTAAGTTTTTTTAACTAACATGTTCTAGAAAATAAATTAATTGGACTTTATTGAAAAAGAAATTGTCGTTATTGCAAAACCAAATACAATCGACGATATTGGTTTCCGTTATTTCTGGAATGAATAAGAATATTGTTTTCTTAGTGGTATGTTAATAAGTAATAAATTTTGCACTACTATGCATGCATACTATGTATATTTAAATTTTTCTGTATAAGTTACTGCTTCTAAGTTACCTGTTGTGCAGATATAATTGAATTTGGTTAATTAAGGATTAAAACAGTCGAAATAGGAACATACCTATGTTTTAATTGTCAGTGTTGCGAGAAACAACTACTCCGCAACACCTAGTGCAACAGCTAGGATCGTTCGTCAGTTTAACCCACCAGACACAGACCGGTTTAGGACTTATTAGTCCTCATCAGTGTGCCATAGGTGAGACAACCGACGAACTAGGTGTTGCGGGTATAATTCAATGCCGGTAGGGGCATATAGCCCTCGGAGTAGTTGTTTCTTGGAACACTGGTAATTAAAACATTGTCTTCGCCCTCTGTGGGTGGCAGTCGTGCAACAAGTACCTGCAATATAGCAGGTCGCTTCCTAATGTAGCCATTTGAATGGCACAGTTGGGAGTTAGCACGACAGATGGAGCCATTTTTGGAACCCAAGATATCGGGGTGTTTTTGGGAACAATACACATGAATTATCATCTTAGGCATGTTTGTCGCAACCATCTAGAGCAGAGCTAGTCGGTGAGTGAATCACAAGTGTATTATATAAAATATGTTACAGTGGCGTAGCACGCAGGCACCGCACCTGACGCGCTGAAGATGGCTGCCGCTCACACGAAGCACTTGGAGGAAGAGACCCCTTCCCCCTTCCTCACGGCAGTCACCATTGCAGCAGCAGCTGGTCGGCTGCCGGGGGCGAGTTGTGCGGTCCTCCGGGCGAGTACTCGCTGTCGGGGGGCCAATAAGGGGGGTACCTAGCGGCGGCTTCCTGTCTAACCCCACAAGGGCTGAAAGCCGTGGGCGACGGGTAACCCTGCTGAGCGTAGGCCCCCGAGTTGCAGCTCGAATAGGAAGCGGCCAGTTGCGACTGCCCCAGCCAAGCGGTCTCGTAGCGCGAGTACGGGGGCGGGTAGGCTGGCGGGGTGAAGATATTCCGCGCCAAGGGGAGTCCGTGCTGACCCAGCGCATCTCCGAAGAAGGCCTTGGGATAAGGCTGCGCCGAACGGTAAGGCCGCTTCATCCGCCGCCTCCTTCTGTAGTTGCCGTTCTCGAACATGTCCTCGTACTGGGGGTCCAGTGTCCAGTAGTTGCCCTTGCGTTCGCCGCCGCCCTCCCGCGGCACCTTCACGAAGCACTCGTTGAGGCTGAGGTTGTGCCGGATGGAGTTCTGCCAGCCCTTCTTGTTGCGTTCGAAGTAGGGGAATTTGGAGGTGATGTACTGATAGATCTCCGAGAGGGTGGCCCTCTTGAGGTGCGAGGACTGTATGGCCATGGCGATGAGCGCCACGTACGAGTAGGGCGGCTTGCTCTGGCTGCTGGGGGGACTGCTGTTGGTGGTCGAGGAGGCCGTGGACGACGAGGGCTGGGGCTGGGGCGAGTGGCTGGACTTGGTGCTGGCAGCGCGGACGGGTTCGTCCGTCGACTCCACGGAGGTGTGGGAGGTGTTGCTGTTGCCCGCCCCCGAGAGGGCGCTGGCTATGCCTCCGGAGATGGCGTTGAAGCTCGACACTGGCGATATGGCTGAAACGAAATATAATTTTTAGAAACAATGTAAAACTTGTAATAACTAGGTTCACTTTTCATATTCCAACGAAGTAAACAACGATTGCACTGTTGATAAGCACGTGGGGCTGGAAACTGTTGTTCGAAACCGATCAAAAGGGATTCCCACCAAACACAAAATCGGATTTCACATCATAAAACAGTTTTCTTATGTGCGTATCATTCGTGGCTTAATTTTATTGCGGTTTTATGTTGTTTTGGATAAATTTAAGGTGTCTAGTACAGATTCGGTTGATAAAGTGGCGAACACATCTAAAATAGGTTGATATAAACTAATTTACATTATTATTTTTCAATATTCTGATATACAGGGTGTCTTTAATGAGTTTGTACAACGCTCCACTAGACTAGACTCAAAATAAGTCAATTTAACTAAACCTGCCTTAAGCCTAAAATTGATAATAACACAGCTACAGGGTGTCAAAGTTGAAAGAATAAATAACATTTTCTTTAATATTTTTCGACTACTGCGAGCTAATTTCGTGAAATTTTGTAACCGGAGGTTTTTTGGGATGACAAATTCGAATTTATAGACGATTTCGTTGTATCTTCTAGAGGGCGCCACAAGTTACCAATAAGACGGATTTAAACTGCCAACACTTTTTTGTGCCACCGTGTATTTCAGTTTGGACTTTTGGGTGGAGACTTGTTCAGACCCTTTAGAGACACCCTTCAAGTTTTATACATGAAATATTTCCTAAATGCCCCCTGTCTTACGGTGAAATTGTTTACTTCGTTGGAATATGTAAAGTGAACGTAATATAGTCATATACAGGTTGTATTTAAATGAAGGGCCACAAATGTAAATGAACAATCTTAAAGTTAATTATAATAATCGGGCCAAATGTACCTTAGTCCAAAGTTGTTTCATTGTCAAATAATGGGGTGTTTGAATTTTTGAAAAATGAATATCTCTACAGGGTGTCTCATAATTAGCTGCCAACCCTGAACAGGCCGATTCTATGATCAAAACTAAGTAAAAAAGTTCATATGAACATGGGTCCGGAAATGCTTCCTAAGGGCACAGGGACCCATTGAAGAGGGAGGAATGGAAATCATTTTTTTGCAATATCTCTCAATCGCGTTGTGATAAATGAATGAAATTTGGTATACACAGCTAAATTTTGATGAGCAATTTGATGGACTAATCCATTTATTTCCACAAGGTCCATTGGGGTGGGTACGGGGGGGCCCTTGGTACTTTGCGTGTGTAACTTTTTCATCTTTGACTTTTTAACAAATTGGACAGCAAATTCCGTTTTCCCGAACTGTTTTACGTTAAAAAGGTACTCTTGTTTCAAATCGTTATCTTTAACGGTTTCTGAGAAAATCGCTCTTGAATTAATCCCACTTTGGTCAATTTCATAGTAATTTAAACAAAAAAAATTTTTTTGTTTAAATTTAATCTAATTTTAATAAAAAAATAATAATAAAAAATTAAATTAAATAAAAATTAATCCTTTAAATGGAAAAGAGAGGAAAGGAAAATTATTATTATTTTTTTTTGTTTAAATTACTATGAAATTGACCAAAGTGGGATTAATTCAAGAGCGATTTTCTCAGAAACCGTTAAAGATAACGATTTGAAACAAGAGTACCTTTTTAACGTAAAACAGTTCGGGAAAACGGAATTTGCTGTCCAATTTGTTAAAAAGTCAAAGATGAAAAAGTTACACACGCAAAGTACCAAGGGCCCCCCCGTACCCACCCCAATGGACCTTGTGGAAATAAATGGATTAGTCCATCAAATTGCTCATCAAAATTTAGCTGTGTATACCAAATTTCATTCATTTATCACAACGCGATTGAGAGATATTGCAAAAAAATGATTTCCATTCCTCCCTCTTCAATGGGTCCCTGTGCCCTTAGGAAGCATTTCCGGACCCATGTTCATATGAACTTTTTTACTTAGTTTTGATCATAGAATCGGCCTGTTCAGGGTTCGCAGCTAATTATGAGACACCCTGTATATCTAAAACTATTTGATGTAGATTGATGAAAGCCGAGTTGACGATTTAATTAAATAAAGGTGCAAATTCACTGAATTTGTATAAAATGACATCAACCAGTGGTGGATATGCGTTAGTCAAGTCATCCTCATTAAAAATCCCAGAATTTCGACATCCCTAAGTATTTTGACAATTTTGTAATTGTAAAGAAAGAATATCTCTTAAAATGAATAATGTTTGCATTATTATTATATTTAGACAAAAAAAGCTTCCAACAAAGTTTAATAAATAAAAATAACTCTAAAAGTGCTAGCAAAAACAATATTTATAGAAAGGTTTTGTTCGTTTTTGCAAAAATTTGATTTTTTTTATTATTTTCGATCTATTGAGATGCGTGAAGTTTATATCGAAGAACATTGAGTTCGTTTGACAAATAAAGGAAAAAATATGCTATTTATTTAATGAGACCAATTTGCGAGTTATGCTTCATTAATAGGCGAAGCATTTTTGTGAGATATGTTTCGCGTTCTGTTTGAAAACGCTGTTATATATGTAGCGCTATTAAGGACACAAACGCCGTTTGTAAAGGAAAGGACGTCTAAATCAGAATTATACGGAATGAGGTGGTAATTACTTCCCGAGTAAATCTTTCACTTCAGTGGGCCGCCTGGCCAATTTATAAATCCAGGCGGACTTCAAAAGCCCATCGCAGCACTATTTGCAAATATCTCTCAAAACAGCGGCTTAACGGCTTGTAGAATATCAGCGGAATTGTTCGGGCGTTGAGTGCCGGTTGCGCATTATTTCTGAGATATTGTGGCGACGAAAACGCTCGGCTCGCTCAAGTGCTGCTCTATGAATAATTTGGTATATTTAAACGAGAGATCGGACTCGAAAAATGTTCAGAACTTTGCTGAAAATTCGAAATGTTCATATATAGGTTCCCCTTTCTCTTCTAAACTGTAATTTTTTATATATGGTAAGGCTAATAAACCGCACAATTGACTTCTTTTGTCATTTTTTTCATGTTTCATTCAAATTAATTTTTTTGTGTGTATTAAATATGTTGCTTCTTATATACATTCTGTATAAGCAACGTGCTATACAAGGTGGCCAAATGAAAACGAAACAGAGCCATTTTCAGGAACTGCGTCAAGATTGTAGAAAAACGCTCCGACCCCCTCAGATCCGGGGGTTGAGTAATATTTCTTTTGAAAGCTCTTACAATTCTCTTTACAACATACTTTAAATTTTATAATTCCGCCCAATACTTATTAAGAATTTTGATTTTAAAGTTGAAACTTATGTACAAACAATTAGTAACGGTAAAAATGTCAGTCATTCGAGTTAAGTACGCCAATGGTATAAATTTAGTATTTCTTGCGTTACATTGGTTGTTGGCGATTTGTTATGACTTTAGTAAAAAAAAAACATTTGTAAAAACAGAAATAAATGCTATACACACACAATGAACGTAAAATTAGTGGATTCCAAATTATTTTCTAGTATTATTTGGAAGCGTTGGTTGTTAGTTTATTTAATTGTGTTTTTGAAAATTAAACACTATGGTTTATTCCATTGCGGAAAGGGTAGATATCATTTCGCTTTACTTTATGAACAATAAATGTGCGAATAGAACAGCTCAGCTATTTAATGAACAACATCAAGATCGACATGTCAGGAGGAAGTATGTTCTAGAGTTAGTAAAAAAATTTCAAGAGACAGGGAACGTAGCCAATAAAAAACGAGAAATTGAAAAACCTATAGTTAATGAAGCTAGTGAAGTTGCAGTTTTGGGACAAGTTCATCTTGATCCTACATTAAGTACGAGGCAGCTGGCATCTGTGTCTGGGATCAATCGAACTAGCATACAAACCATTTTGAAGAAGAATAAATTCCATCCATACAAAATACATTTAGTCCAGGAACTTCATGAGGATGATTATGACCGCCGTTTGCAATTTTGCGAAATAATGAGTGAGCGAGCAGGGAACGATCCACAGTTCCTTTTTAACATCTGTTTTTCTGATGAATGCAGTTTTTTCTTGAACGGGACGGTAAATCGTCACAATTGCCGCTATTGGTCCGATTCAAACCCAAGAGTTTTTCACGAGGTGCATACACAGCAACCGGAAAAATTAAATGTATGGGCTGGAATTTTCGGTGACCGGCTGGTGGGTCCTTTTTTTCTACCTGGTAATTTGACTGGCCAAATGTATTTGCAATTACTGGAAGACGCTATTGACCCTGCCTTGACTGATATTATTGAAAATGTTCCAGAGTATGATGAAGATCATTTGATTTTTCAACAGGACGGTGCTCCTCCGCATTATGCGTTAATTGTCCGTCAGTATTTGGACCAACGTTTTCTACGGAATTGGATTGGGAGAAGAGGCAGCATTGAGTGGCCTCCACGATCACCGGATTTATCGCCCCTTGATTTCTTTTTGTGGGGATACCTAAAAAGTAAAATCTATAAAACACAGCCAGCGTCGCTGGAAGATTTGCGTCAAAGAATCGTCGACGAATGCCGTCGAATCACTCCGGAAATGCTTCGGAATGTGCGCGAACGTTTCGAACAAAATCTTTATTCTTGTATGGAAGCGGGCGGTCATCAGTTTGAACATTTAATCAACTAAGTAGTAAGTAAGCAACTAAACATAATTTAAATTTTAAAATGTAAATTTTTTTCAAAGTATTGGGCGGAATTATAAAATTTAAAGTCTGTTGTAAAGAGAATTGTAAGAGCTTTCAAAAGAAATATTACTCAACCCCCAATGCCATTTAAATATTTTGGGGTGATGCTTACCCTTGCTTGGGGGTCAAAGTGGCGGAGTCAAAAATACCAGCAAAGAATCTAAAATCGACGGGTCTGAGCGTTTTTCTACAATCTTGACGCAGTTCCTGAAAATGACTGTTTCGTTTTCATTTGGCCACCCTGTATGAAATATTACACAAATTGAAGCATATTGTTTTAAATAATACTTTTAACATTTATGCGATATTATT